TTTCTTACACTTGATCCCCTTACAGCTCTATCAGCAGGAGTCCGTTCTGGATCAACAAGCTTCTAGGAGTGGCAGCAGTACTTAGGAATCACACCTATTAAATCATCGTTTTAGCTGTTAAGACTGCCAACAAGGTGCGAACTGTGGTCTAAGTACTGGTATTTGGGGCCTTGGCAGACAGCAGGAACTGTGATGAAATTCAGCTTCCAAAAAAAAGAAACACGGTTGCTGTATATCCTTTGGTCTTTAACCTCAGGTTAAAGAGGAGGTTCTGCTTTTTACTAATAATATGTATGCTTTGAAAAAATTATTCCATCTCCATCCAGAAAGTCTTTGTGGCCCCAGGTGGCTCTCCAATTAAAGTGATCTGGGCTCCCAGTTGTTTCCACCTGTTCCGTTCATGACTTCATGCAGACATTTTACTTTTTTTGTCTCTGCTATCTTTTTATACATAAGGAATTTATTGGTTTTGGAGGGAATCGCCTCACAGACAGTTGATATTTTGCTAATGTAGGTAGAAGTAAGTGGAGTCTTAGCATTATGCTTTGATGTTAACTGTGCATCCAGCTGGAGACTGATTATACTAAACTTCCGATCTTCAAATTCTCCATGCTTCGTCTAGTCTTTTCTCCATGGATTCATCTGTCATCTTTGTCTCTTAATGCCCTGCCCCCCACTTTTTTCAGATGAAAGCTCTACCTATAGACATACATAAATTGCATCATTACCTGCTGCTGTTTTCTGATGTGAGTCATATTTTTGATTACTAGGAAATAACTGTATGGGCACGAAATAGGTGGGTCTATTCCAGACCAATCTTCAAGGAAGAATAATTGCAGTACGGGTTTGATAACCAAGAGGAGTACCAGAAAACATAAAACCATTTCCTGGATGGTGATAGGCTGACAAAACCTCTGAATCATAAAATACTCCCTGCTGTGGTGGGTTAACCTTGCCTGGCTGCCAAATGCCCACCCAGTTGCTCTCTGCACCCTCAAACCACGACACCCTCTCAACTGGACAGGGGGAGAAAATAAGATGGACAAGCTTGAGGGTTGAGATAAGGCAATTTAACAAGAAAAGCAAAGTCCACATGTGTAAGCAAAGTAAAAGAGGGAATTGATTCACTACTTCCCTTCAGCAGGCAGTCCAGCCGCTTCCTGGGAAGCAGGACCTCAGTACATGCAGTGATTGCTTCAGAAGACAAATTTTGTAACCACGAATGTCCCTCCCGCGCCTCCTTTTCTCCAGCTTTTGTTGCTTGGATTATTATTGCTTGCTCATTATATGGCGTGGAATATCCCTTTAGTCAGTTGGGGTCAGCTGTCCCGGCTGAGTATTGGTAGTTGGTGTTAGAAGGCAACTATGTATTAATTGAGCTCTTCTGTGAAGCATAGTGTATCAGCAGATCTTTTATATCAAACTGTAAAATAACCTTGTAGAGATAAACATTTATTTCACTCCTCCCTTTTGGTTGGGTTAGACTATTTATTTAACTGACGTGTAGATGCAACGTTACCTTTATATATCTGTGGGAGGAATACTTGATTATTTATTTTTAAATGCATTACAATTTGCCAGTGTTACTCAGCCTCATTTGGTAATCCATTTGTTAATATTACATAGATGTAGTGAGATGCAAATCAGTTATTTGCTAGGTGCTATATAGACAATTAAGGAAACAAGGTTCTTGCCCCAAAGAGTTTGCTCACATGATCTCTTCTGGAAGTGCATTGAGATCTGATTTCACACTGCCTGAAGAAGTATTTCCTTTCGTTATTTTATCTACCATGTAGTACATCAGCTGGAGAGAGCTAATCTCCCCATAAAGAAAGCAAGGCAACTTCCTTTGTGTGCTGGGTGAATCCTTCAAGATGTTTGTTTGTCTGAAGTGGTCATTTGCAAGCACAGCTTCCATTTATACAGTGTCCTTCATAGCAATGTCACTATGAACGTAATGAATATACTTAGAAGTATTTAAAGACTCCATAAATACATATTTCTTTGCAACTGCCTGGAACAGTGGTGTAAGATAGGCCTTTTGTGTTGAGGAAGGGATGGGCCATGGAGCATTTTTTCAGATCCAAGCAATTCGGCTTTGTATGAGTGACCAGGACATAGAAAGAACATTTTTTTTTCTTTTTCTCTCTCCATTGGTCCAGTCAATTTAGGTATTTTTCTGTTTCTTTTTAATATATTAGAGATTTTATTGTTCCCCCACCCTGTATTTAATTTTGTGGTGGATTATCTGTTTTGACAAATGTTTGCACAATTACCTAAGAAATTAATTATAAAAGAATTAATCCAGCTCTCAACTGGGTTAACCAGGAGAGAAGAGCCTTCACATCACAGTCAGTGGCTGAATCCAGCTGGCAAAAATCAATGTGGTTCTGTTTAATTATGATTAATGTTTTCACTTATTTTATAATTTTGCATGCAATTTTCTTTTTAAGGCTCTTGCGGGATGATTTGGCAATTGCTATTCATAAACCAGAGAGCTTGGTTCTGTGTCATCTGATAAAGATGTCATCTGATTTGTGTACCCGCAAGGGGATGTGACCAGTAGAGGGATGTGACTTGACATTAAATTCCATTTTCTCAAAGGACACATCTACCAGAATTCAGGATTCACATCCCCCGGTCCCTGGTACTAGCACTGCAAAGGCTGGAATTGTCATCACTGGTACTATTTTATGATTGACACAGCGGCCTGGTTCTGTCACCCTTATTTACATTGAAGAACATCTTAAGAAAAATTACTCTCACATTTCTGTTCCTGTAGTGGCATCCATGTAGATAAGGATGTCTGCCTGGGAAGGGGCTGAGGACATTGCTGCCAAAATTTATTCAAAGTTAAGACAGAACTGTACGAATATTTGGTGTTGTGCTTTTGCTTTTCATCTGGAGAAAAAGTTGTCTATAGTCTCAGCTCCAAAGAGCTTATAATGCAACTAGAGGAGCAACAAAAGAAAAAATGGAGTATATGGATAGAAAGAATGAGGGGGGGAAAAGTGATGCCACCACATTATGAAGCAACTCAGTGGTACCGAGCTTGCTTGTTCTATATATACACAGCTGGTGTTACATTAATTTGCTGATTGCTTGTGGTTCTACTTACGTATACATGAATATCTCTCTATTTATATACATACAGACATAAGATACTCATATATTACATTAAAAGAACATTGTGTTTGAAAGTGACAATGCCTGAACTCCAAAGTGTCTGATGTAGTCTTTCATTTTGTTTTTGCGTGGTGGTTTTCTTAGGACTCTTACCTTATTCAGAGCATAGAAGGGATGAATCCTGCTCCTTGCACTATTATTTAATATTTTGACTTATTAAAGAATTTGACTTATTAAGAATTATTAAAAATATGACCTCAGGCCTTATTAATTACTATCTTCTAGTTGCTGCAGCAGTTCAGAAGAAGTCCTAATAAACACATTCTCATTACTATATATCACGAGGACATCTTCTGTACCATAAAAAAATAATGTGAGATGTTGAAATTGAAAACTGTATTGCAAACATTGTCAAAATAAAACCATATCAAAATTGAGGCATTAGATTGATGTGAGTTTATTCAGCTGAAAGGTATTTTTTAGCATGGGCAAAATTTCATACTCTTACCAGATGTTCTTCCTGGAAATAGAGAAAAGTCTTTTTCGTAAAGCTTTGAAGAGAAATCAGTGTCTGTCTGTCATTTCCTATGTGTGGAAAGCTTCAACCCAAATAGATAACAAAATTATAAGCAATTGAAAACAGCATTTTTAAAATGGCAAGTATGCAAAACTATTATTAGAATGGTATTACTTTTTCCTACAATTAAGACGCATCCATGATTGTGTGGGATAGAATAAAACATAGATTTTAGCATCACAACTTAGCAGGATAATATTATTCAGCTAGGAGTGGGTCATTTACAGAAGTCACCACAGACAGGTATTGGTGTATTTTTTTCTGCTTCACAAAAGCATTTGATACATGTTAAAGAAAAACGATTCTAGAAAATTTTTGAACATTCTAGAATTTTTCATCATTCTAAGACTTGAATCAGGGGAGGAATTACTCCTATTATTATAAGACTTAGAAGTCCAGCAGTCCATAAAGCATGATATATTGGTGATGGTCTTTAACAGTTTTCAGAACTTTCAAGTGGACCCAGATTTTGAATTTCCAGAACTTAACCATTGTAATTGTATTTGGCACATATGTATGTATGTCTTCAGCAAATATATTAAAGGAACGTTAAGGTTTCAAAATCAAGAACTCGGATGTTAGCAAATGGTAAAATTAAGGTTGTCCATTTGACCCTATTTCATGACCCTGTGAATTATGGTTAATTTTTAAAAATTATGGTCACATAATAATGAATCAGTAATATAGTAGATATTAGTAAATATAGTAATACATGTACATACAAGTGGAACAAACTCAGTAAAGGTACAGGAGGTGCAGAGTTTCATCCATTAGCTGCCTTTTCTGTGTAGCGAAGTCTTCATTTGAAAAAAAAACACCCATTCCTAGCAAGTTGTCAATGAATACTAATTTGAAACTACTAATTTGAGAGACGTTCATGCTAATTCCACTCTGGCAGAGTGAAGGTTTTTTCCTTTTACGTGCAGGTTGTTTATCAGTTCAGAAGGCCTCTTGTAGACAGGACACTGTACAAGCACAATACTCTCAGTGTCAACAAAGAAGTTCCCCATGGTTAATTCTATTTTCTGCCTTTCTGTTTTTGAGTTTCTAGATAGAGCAAGCTCCAGGCTGACACCAGGTAGGGTCTTAACAGGGGCAATATGAGCACCCTGAACTTCAGCTGCAAACAAATGTATACAAGGATCCATGTTACTGAATGTCCCTTTGTCAAGATACAGTAATAGTTTGATGACATTGAACATCCCCAGTGAAACAGCAGGTCCTTAGTATGATACAAAAAGTTTACTGGACAGACATAAAGTTATCACAGGAAATTTTCCCTAAGAAGACAAAAGCTAACTGAGGTTAGTCTTTACAGTAGTTACTGTAGAAATTAAAAAATAAATTTTGATCAGGGGGGCATATGCACTTAAGGAATTTGTTTTGATTCGTATATTTTTTTTTTTAGGTATTTGGGAGATGGTGTTGATTGAGTCCTTCACTTTGGATCAACTTGGTGACTGTATAAGGAAATGTATGTTTCTCAGTTCTGGGGCTGGCAGAGGACAGAAACATAGTGCTCTTTATTACTACGTCATCTCTGTCTCTCAGAAGTGATGATAAAATTTGTAGCTGGTTAAAGAAAATGATTTGTTTTCTGGAGTGCTGCAGTAGTGTTGAAATGTAATCACAGGACATAAATGTTTGTAGACCTAATCCCAGCCTCACCGGATTTGTTGGAAGCTATTTGGAAGAATTTTATGAAGCTGAGTTTTCTTACACAGGCTTTCACAAATAAGGTAAATTATCGCTATTTGTTTTTTTCCTCATTTTCTAGTCTTGCTGTCTATAGTGCACATATACTTTCTTTAACAACAAAAAAAAAATTAAGATCCTGGAGCACTCTGCAGTATGTTAGTTTATAACATTAGTATTTTCAAATATAGTTTGCCATTTATTATTAGCCAAGTGTTCATATTATGGTGCCTCCAGGAACATATAAAGGTGTTCTGGGTTGTCATAATACTTTGTTTTGAAGAAAATGATTTAGGCTTCATGTTCTGGCCCAAGAAGCTGAGTCCATGCTGTTTCTGTTTTACAGCATGCTGTCGGCATGGATAGCTGCCAGAGCCTGTTAAAGCTACTTTTCACTCCCTTCTCTCTAGGGACATAAAAACCACTACCCACTTCGGCAAAATAGTTTCCTCAGCCAAAGCCACCAAGGCTCAATCTGTAGCCTTCAGTACAAGAGTACTGTCCCAACAAATTAGACCAGCAGCTTATAGGAGACAATAAAGAAAAAGAGATTCTAAACAGTATATGACACTGTGTACGTGCTGTTTCCACTCTACTATTGGTTTATGAAAAGCTGTACAAAACCTTTTAAGATTGGAACTGCAAAATTACTTTTTGTGTCCAGCTATACATGCTGAATTCATAGCTTTCTACTTCTTCCTTTTTATCTAATGTCCTGTAGAGCTCTTAACTGTGATCACAGACAGAAGCTGGAATCATATTCTCAGTGGTAAGAGACTATTTCTTATCGATTAGTCATTATTTTTATTATATGTGCACCAGTATTACAATTAAGATGACACAATCTAATTTACCAAAGAGTATATTGAAGTACTTTCTTTACCGTTCCATCCCCTCATGGTACATCTGTGCCTCCATTCACCCATAATTTTTTAACTATTTCGCCTTTTGTACTGAAAAGTCATCTTCCTTTTTTTGTTGAAAGGTGACCTTCTTGATCATGAAATGAAGTATTTGGTGAATTTTTTTCTACTGATGGGAAAAACAGCCTTCTTTTCAGTTTGGAATGTGCAGTTTCTGTGGGGAAGGAATGGCTCTTCCAAAGGTACTCGTTGTGATAGAATGTTGTTTCTTGTCAGCATCTGTCATACGTATCATTACATCAGTCTAAAAGTAATTTTAAATGGATCCTGATAGTGATGGTTACAGTGTCATGAGCCAAAAGGTAAAGTGGGTTTGAAATTAGCTGTCATCACGTAGATGTCCCTTTGAGGTTTTTCTAGGAGGTTTTTTTTTATTTAACCAGGTTATGAGATTTTTAAAATCACCTGCTGCAAATGTGTAGTAGATTTTTCATGTCTGTTTTTAATAAAATTGTAATGTACTCAGTTAATGAAAAACACATTCATAATACATGTGAAGACTTTATTCTGTCTTGTTCTCTCCCACACCCTACCTTAAGAGAAGAAAGGTAAGGAAGGTATAGGAAATAGGTCCATGGAGAGGTAAGACTGAATTTTTCACCTCTTTTCTTGAAGCAGTAAACAGCTGCCTTATTTTTTGTTTAAGGACTATACTGGAAATTCAGCTCTTTCATGGTTAAATTGTCATTTAATGTTTTAGGAAGCCCAAAAGTAAGGTCAGTCTGATTGTGTTCCTCAGCCCATTTTAACACAGTTCCTCTCTTTAAAACATTACAGAATGCTTTTCATGTCAAAATCGTCAAATGTAGCCCACATACAAGGTGAAATGCTGCTTGTGAAAGTCAGTAAAGTTCACCCAAAGGATTTAACTTAGGTGCCTCTTAATGGATGCAAGCATGAAAAGAGACAAAGGTTTTAATCTGTCTCGTTTTGACTTCATGTTTTCCTGGTTTTTGTGAGTGTACTCAGGGTAGTTAATGTTTTTGCAATTATACCTAACAGTTGGAGGTGTACTTGACTGAAATGACCCAAATCTTACATAAGTAATTCTGATAATTATCCTGCACTTTGAAAATAAGGCTTGAACTATAATTATTTATGGGAGGGATATTGCAAGAAATGTACAGTGTTAAAATAAGGCAGATCCTTAACATGGTTTTAATGTCCATGCTGAGCACTATGTCTTTTAAGATACTAATGTAAGTATGCATATTAGTATGTACGAAGGAGATAAATGCTTAACAGAAGACAGTAAGTACCCTTTTTGCAGAAATCCAGCATTTGCTTTCAGCAAGTCCTTCACCTAGAAGGAGTCCACTTCAGCAGTATAGTAAAAGTGTTATTTAAGATCCTCTATAGTTTTGAGGATGCCCCTGACTCTATAAAGACTCCAAAGGGATCAGTTGATATGCTGCATCTATAAAAACAATTTAAGTAGCTCTAAGTAAGTCTTCGTGCCAATTATATTAATGAAGCTGCAAAGGGACTGCAAATTTAGAAGTCCTCTAAAGTCCAGTGCTGGCCCAGCAATTCAGAAGCTCCTTAACAAGATATTAAATCAGGCTCTTTAATCTCTCTAATTGGTGCTTTTGAGTATAGAAGAATACATGAACCCTGCTGTGTTCTAAAAGCAGTAGAATATCTTCAGTAGCCAATAATGCCTAGTGAAAACAGACTTCTCAGACTGCAAGTCTTCTGTACTGAAGAAGTACTGTACTACACAGAGGAGTTTGATTTCACTGCTACTGGTCAGTGCAGTTTTGCTGTTGAACAGTGCTTGGCTGCAGCTGTGCTGGAAATGGATCAGCTCTGCCCTCCATGACTGTAAGGTCCATTCCTAGGCATTGCTAAATATCCTGTCCGTCAGTCAAGGGGTGACACCTAGGAGCAGCCAGAGGAAGTTACCCTGCTGAGAGAATGGGGGTTTCAGTGCCACGATTCCTCTTGAGAGCCATCAAGCCTCTCCCCACAGAATGGGACTTTTAGAAACTGATGACCAGTTTTTTAAACTAATACGGGTACTAAAACTTAGAAAGCCTAGAGGTTAACTTAAAGATATTTACACTTAGAATAACAACTTTTTCTCACAAAAGTACAGCTCTAATGGATGCTAGTTCTTTTAAAACCATAAAGACCAGCTCCTTGGCTGCAGTAAATCTGTATGGTTTCACCAGAATGCATGAGGCTTTTTGGCAGCTAAGGAGTTACTATTCATTTAGCATTCTATTTAAAGAAAATCTGTAAGGTTGCTACTTTCTAGCTACAGCTTTTATCTCAGTCTCACTTTCAGCTGCTATATGCATTCTTTCCAGGGTGTGACTTCCGTAGCGGTAATGTATGTATACATCAGGGTGACTCAGGCGTGCACCATCTCCCATCTCTTTTGCCTTCTATGGAGAAGGGAGGAAGACAAACACACATTTCAGTGGGTTCCAGCCTTATCTTGTCTCTGATTACTCCTGCTCTAAGCTTTTGGCTGAAGTTCTGAAGAACTTTTCTACTTCAATTTTTTTCAGATAGGTTTACAGGGTGTCATCCCTTTGATTTGTATAAAAACTCCCAGAGAGTATGATGGGACACCTGGCTTGTGTTTCAAAGAAATAATTATGCAGTATCATTTAATTTTTCTTTAACATTCATCCTCACTACTGGAGGAAGTAAAAAGGCCACCCACTGAAAGAAGACAGTGCAAAGCTAATGAATCCACTAGAAGAAGGCTCTACGCTTCTGTGGCTGTCCCATGCTAAGCAGAATCCTGATCATGGAAAATCCAAGGAGATTTGCCCTGTATGGTACGTCATTTATGTATGTTGACTTTACATATTATTCCCTCTGGGAATAAAAATTTCCCCATAGTCCTGCTTTTTTCTACTGTTTCATCAAAGCCTGTATTTCAGTCATCTCTAGTTGACCAAAGGGAACATGAATTTTCTGTGACTCATTTTTAGTGGTGTTTTTATTTTGTTTAGGTGAAGCAAAAAGGTCTGTATTTTTAAAGTATATTTTCAAATGCATTAATTTCTTGGTGTAAATGAGATTTTATTATCATAACTGGTAGCTGTCACTCCTCTAAATTGTAGGATACAAGTTTAAATTCATCAGAATGTGCAGGAGAATAAAAATTGGCACAGGACTATACTTTAGGTACAAATGTTGCAACCGTATTAGCTTTTCACTGGAATTAACAACTTGCACATGATCATACCTATGTAAGTGCATGTAAATAAACAGCCACCATTTCACCCTCAAGATCATTCCTAACTAATACAGTGTGGGGAATGGGGGAGATTTAAAAGTTTAGTTCATGTAGAGCTCTAAATATTTTAGACAAATTTCATTGATTTCATTTCTTCAGGCTTGCATTTTCTGAGTTTTTTTTTTGTTGTTGTCTTAGCAGAAATTTTGTTGATGTTATTTTTAGTTGTGTTGTCTACTCAAATAAGCAAACAAAGTTATTTAGATCTATTTACTAATCTTGTGGGTTTTTAAAAATAACTTACCATGGTTACAATTAAATGGGAGAAAGGGGAGGAATAAGAGAGAAAGATCTTGTCAAAATAATTTTAGAATGTTCACAATGGCCTATAAGATAATGCTTTTTAACAAAGTTATCAAATACAGTGGTATCTGAGTGCCTTGCGCAAAGGCTAATTATTCTTTCAGGAACATGCATTTTAAGGGATCTTTTCTATATTTCTGCATTTCATGAAAACACTTAAGAGGAGTGAAGTGTGATGCATAAAGAGGAAGCTTCACTGTCTTGAAATATTCTTGTGGAAGAAATACTATGTATAGCTTTTCTTGTGTGTATATACTTCATCATTGTTTCAGTGTAGGTATAGAAGAAGAATCACATGTGGCTTTCTCACTTACCCACAATCCCATTCCTTTGGGCAATAAGTTGTAGTGGAGCAAATATGTTGTTCTAGAACACTGCACAATAGTTTTAACATCAAGCTATCTTTCCTGTAAGTTATTCCAAGCACCTGCCTCTGTCAGATACTTCAGAAATTATTTTGAAAACTGCATTTTGATTATCCTTCTCTGTCACTCTAACAAACCCTTTAAAGTAATTATTGCATGAAGAATTTCACAAGCTGTTTAAGGAAAATCATATGTATAAATTCATATTAAAAAAAACTTCACAAAGTACTTTTTGTAAAGTGCTTTTTTATTATGCATTGTCAACAGTTAAATGATATGTTGCTGTTTCATGCAAGCTGGAATAGTGTTAAGAGAGCAAATGTTAATCCATAAACACATTAAGGAAAAAAGTGTTAAATTTGCATAAGTTTGGACAGGTTTAAATATGAAACCGGAGAGTTGCATCAGTTAAAATGACTTTGAATTAGTTACTGAAACAACCACTAGTCTAGTTGTTTCCAAGCCTTGTTCCAGTTCTGTCTAGGATGTTTGTTTTTATCCTGTGTTAAAATTTACACTTTTTTTTTTTCTGTCATGCAATGTAATACCATAGTAGCAGCCCTAGGAATACAGCAAAACAGTACTATTCACCAACCAGTTGTGGTTAATATGCAATAACAAGTCCATTTCAAACAAAGTACTGCATGATATTGCAAAAAAAACCCCCACCCAAACCCAACAAAAAAACCCCAACCAAACCCCCAAATCTTCTAGTATGAGCTAACACAACAAATGTACATAATATGTCATGGAGCAGCAGCTCAGTTACAATAATATCAATACATAAGAAAAAAGCTATGGAAATATATTTTCTTGTTTTGTGCACACCAGGTGCTTCACATCTTAATTTGCTACAAATGATAAACAGTAAAATTGAATTATGTTTCTGCAGGACAGTCATGTAGTAAAATATTTCTTGCAATGTTCAGGAACATAGAGAGACAAGTTGTTTTAATTACAGACGGGAAAAAAAAAAATCTATTTTATGCATCTTCATTGCCTTAAATATAAACTAAGTAAATAAAGTCTGAGTGACAGTATATAATACAAATTTTCATATGTAATCTCTGGATATTAAATTCTTCAAGAAGGACTATAAAATAACTGGACTGAAGAAATATCTATTTATGACATGCTTTATAATGAGTGACAGACATAGCTGATCGCTTAGCTGTTTTATTCATTTTCATCATAGAATCTATTTCTTTTAATTTGTTCTTCTATAGTGAGCTGTTTGAACTTGACTTTCTCACCTTGGAATGATGGAACAGCTGTATATCTTGAGCTCAGTAAATCTAAGCTTGTGTTTATGTCATTCTTTGACACTTCGATTGTTTCACTTTCTTGACAGGCATTAATACCATTCAGTTCTGTATCATAATTCCCATGTTCTTTTGAATATGGGCTGCAGGACTTTTTAGTTATGTTTACTGAGTCTATTAGACCACAGTCTAAAGCCAGGTTGTCTTTTTGAAGAAAAGAAGTTTTCAGAGTGTCAGGTTCTTTTCCAGTGCATACCAACTCAGTATCAACAGGGAATGTAGTATCAGTTGCCTCCTTGAAAACTAATGTGCTCTTTGTATGAGACTTCTGACAAGTAGCATCTTTATTAAATTGAGTAAGACCGTTAAAAGTAACAGCATCTTCATCTCTTGAGTTCTCTTCATCCCATGAAACAGTTACAGTATCGCGAGAATAGCGCTCATGAAATTCATATATCTCAAATAGTTCTTCATTTCCAGACCGATTTTCCAGCTTTGCAACAGCATGCTGTGATACAGTGCAAATTGCATGGCTTAATGCTGTCATTGGCTTAGACGTAGCTGAGAGAGTTGCTTCCTGCCTACAAATGTTTAGGTGTGAAAAAGTGGCATTATTGTTATTGTTATTCAAGCTGAATTCTTTGTGATTTTTTTGTACTGTGATATCATCAATGTTAGTAACCTGTACAACTTCTGAATTATCAGTTTCACTAATTTTTTTCTCTTGCTCCTTCCCAGCACTTTTCACAATCACATTATCATCTTCATTAATATCCTTTCCATTTTCCTCCCTATTCTGTGATACTCCTGTTCTATTCGGCTTATCTTGCACGTTCCCAGCTTCCTCATCTGTTTCCTTACTGCCTGCTTCATTTTTCTTTGCTTGAGAGATATCTGTAGCTTGTTTTTCAGGCAGAGAGCTAAGGGATGAGCGTTGGTTTTGTTGTGCATTTGCAGTGTCATTTTTATTTTGCTGTCTCACAGCATTTTTTTTCTGAGGATCCTTTTTATTGCCCAGAGGTTTATTTGTATGTAAACTGGAATCTTCTTGAGCAAATCCTTCTGGGGGCCACTTTGGCTTATTTACTTTAGCCACTTCTTCAATAGAAAATGTTTTCTTAGGTGTTGTATCATCTGTTGAAGGTGGCCATTTCATCTTCAGTTTACCTCTTTCTGTGGATTTTTTCAAATTATTATCCAAAATATCAGGATGAATACCTTCAGTACCTGAGTACAAGTCTTGATCAATTTCAGTAATTGGTTTAGGATCAACAGGTATACTATTAATGGGATTTGTTTCTTCAGCATGAATATTGCCAACTGAGCTACACTGATCTTTAGAATTCCATAATTCTTTATGCTGCTTGTATCCAAAACCTTCATCATAATTTCCTTTTGATTTGAAAAGTTGCTTAAAATGGGGTTTACAATATATTTTTCCATGGAGAGCGGCGTAATTTCCCAAGCTGCCGAATGGAAGAAAATTTGGTTTATGCTTTTATATATCATAAATCTACCATGAATTTTACACTTTACTTGGTATTTCAAGTACCCCTACATGGCAGTATATATAAAGAAAGAAAGAGCAAAAAGAGAGCAAATGCAATGTATTGGCCAATTCTGGCCACTCACACACACAAAAGTATCTAAAACCTTTAATTGCAAATTCCCATACAATTTCAAAGTCTAAATGAAGGAGAAGAGTCATGCTTTGTGATTTAAGAAAGAACGTAAACTTATTTGGTTGTTACACAGCATAAGCTTCAAACAGGAATGTTCCTCAGCACTTTGGGGTTGTTGCAATCTTTTTCTACATCATATTAAGACTGAATCTTCTTTTTTTTTGTATAAAATATGTGGGGGAAATATAGTGCCAATTTTCTTTAGCCTTTGTGCAAATTATAGAAATTTATGTTTGATTATATTTGGATTCTGCTTCTAAATGAAGTAAAGGAAATGTGTGTAACTAACCTCAAACGTGTTAAAATCGGAACTGTTAGCCTTTGCAGTCTGATTGAACAATAAATACCACATTTCATCGAACGGTTACAAGAGTTGTTTGCTAATGCAGAGAACCATCATCATTCCTTTTATGGATGAGGAAAAGTGAGAGAAAATTCGGTCTGTGTTCAGATGTCTTAAATTCCACCCCAGTTTCTGTCTGTACTGCTTCCTGTTCATGAGCTGTCCTGAAGGTCTGGAACAGTCAGTAGGAAGTAATACACAGAAGCATTTGGAAGGTACTGGGATGAAGCAGTTCTTTAGAGAATTTAAAGGACTCGTTCCACGTCACAGTGCAGATGTCAGTGGCAGAGAAGAAAAGGCGAACCCAGGTTACTTCCCTGTCAACATCCCACAGGCTGCATAGCCTAGTTGAAAATAATTTCACCAGATGTATTTATATTCAAATGCAGAGTTCTGTGAGTGAACATGCAGTTGCTTCTTACCTTAATTGACTGCTACAGTGGTGACATCGGAAACATGATTTATGAAAATTCTGCTTGTCAGCAACTAGGCATTCCATTGGGTAAACTCTCTGTTGACAGAGTCTGCACGTTTCATTTTCCTGAATCTGCAGTTTCTAGAACCACATATTAAAAAGTTACGAGTTAGTTTAAACCACATATTATGATTTATTTTTAACTGTATCAGTCCATATGTTTTGTTAAAACTGTAGTTTTCTTTATCCATTAACTGGTATCTTAGCTGTCAATTTTAGGGCTTCATTTTTGTTCAACTAGCAGTAATGCTTTGAAAGTGAAAAGCTACTCATCTTTCCCTTTTCAGAAATCCATACATTTGATAGGACTATTCACTTCACTGCACCAGGTACAATATTTCTCATTTATTCATAATAACTATACATTTTGTAAAATGAGATGGGATAATAAAAGGTTTATTAGTATAAGTGGAGTTGAGTATAATGTATGTATAATCTTTGAATCTACAGTGTGATTTGGAGAACAATAAACAAAGGGCAGATGTTTGAAATTCTGATCAGGAAGTTTTACTTAGTCATGCCAAAAGCACATCAAGGTGCTCCACTTCTCTGTTAACCTGCAGACTGTACACTCATATGGTCCAGATATGCGATGGACATAATTATTTGTGACTTTTACTATTTTCATGTTCAGACCTGATACTTTCTCCAGTTAATTTTTAAGACTGAGCTGGCTACAATTATATTAGCTAACTATATAAAATCCTTTCTTTTTTGAAGTATAATTAATTATAAAGGAAACTAGTTCTCTGTAAAGTACAGAGCATGAATAGAAGGCTTATTTCATACCAGTAAGGGGCAGAAGGAAATAATGGATAATCTGTTGGGCTTGGAAAAATGCATGCTGCTCTTCTGTCTTGATTTCTGAATTACTAAGAAAACCATACTAGCAGACAAATACAAATAGGGTGGACCAAATAATTGCTTGAATAAATATATCCCCATTGACAATAATAATGCCCCTTGACATCAGCAGAAAATTTGGCCCTTCTCAGCATTCTGTGTGGTTTTGGTTCGCCTGCTGGTATTGATTTTATAGCAATTTGCAAATCAAGGCAGAAAAAAGAATAAACCACCAGTAGAAACAAAACCAAAAAATCTCCCAAAGAACTGTTGGTCATGAAACAGAAAGCCTCAAATGGGGGCTTAACTTAGTCTCCAAACGGGCTGAGGCAGCGGGTGTGCAGTGCGGTGTTCTGCACGTGTCTCCTTCAAGAGAAGAGAAAAACAAAGAGAAAGAGGGAATTTAAGGGAAGATTATCCCAAAGCAACTTCCAGGACTGAATAGTGGAGCCAATATTCATAATCTGCATGAAAATGAATCATGTATTGGGTGTCAGTGGCAAGCTTATGGTAGCTGGGGGGCTGCAGGGGCGGCCGCTGTGAGGAGAGGCTGGGGCTGCCCCGTGCTGGATGCAGCCGGCTCCAGCGGACACAGCCCAGGGCGCGGCTGGGCCCCGCAGCCAAAATGGTGGCGCCTCGGGGAAAAGCGTCTTCAATAAGCAGCAAAATTCTGTACATGCAGCGAGGACTGAGGGAAAAAAGTGTGAGAAACAACCCTGCGAACACCAAAATCAGAGAAGAAGGAGGTGCGGCAGAAGAGCTTTCCTGCAGCCTGTCAAGGAGACCAGGGGAGTTGGTATTTCCCTGCAGCCTGTGGAGGGAGGACCACACCGGGGCAGATACCCACACTGCAGCCTGTGAAGGATACCACAATGGAGCAGGTGGGTATTCCCAGAAGGAACTACAGCCTGTGGAGAGCCCACACTGGAGCTGGGAAAAGTGTGAGGAGGAAGGAAAAGCAGAGAGGAACTGGTACGGACTGACCCCGGCCCCCATTCCCCATCCCCTCTGTGCTGCCTGGGCTGGGGAGGAGGTAGAAGAGTCGGGAGTGAAGGGGTAAAGTTGAGCCTGGTGAAAAGAGGGCAGGAGGACACGTTTGTCTTTGTTTCTCACCATCTAAATCTATTTTAATTGACAATTAAATTAATTTTCCCCAAGGCAAGTCTGTTTTGTCTGTGAAAGTAATTGGTAAGTGATCTCCCTGTCTTTATTTTGTTCCATGAGCTTTTTCATCCTGTTTTCTCTCCCCTCCTCAGAGGGGGCATGAGAGAGTGGCTGGGTAGGGGTCTGGCAGGTCAACCCACCACACATGAACAGTCCTACAAAATCAGGAGGGGAAAGGCAGGTCTACTATGTGAGATCATCAGTGTTTACCAGGCAGAAGAGATCCAAAATGAAATCCGTATAGATTGACCATATAGAGAATTCAGTATTCTACTGGTACTGGGTATTTCCTCACTTTTAACATACTTAAGTATACCGAATCTGTCTGGGATGCAGTTAATTTTCTTCATAGCAGCTCATATGGTGCTACATTTTGGATTTGTGGCGAAAGTGTTGATAACACACCAATGTCTTGGCTATTGCTGAATAGTGCTTGCACTTTTCTTCCTCCCACTCTGACCCCACTCCCTGCCCCAAGCGAATAGGTGAGGATGCACAAGAAATTGAGAGAGGACACAACTAAGACGTAATGCTCAGCAGTAAAAGCTGAGGGAAAGGAGGAGCAAGAGGGGACATTCAGAGCTATGGCCTTTGTCCTGCCAAGTAACTGTTGTGCATGTTGAGGCCTTGCTTTCCAGGAAGTGGCTAAACATCTGCCTGCTGATGAGAAGTAGCGAGTCAATTTCTTATTTTGCTTTCCTTGCACCCCAGCTTTGCTTCATCTAACCTGCCCACAGGTTTTCTTGCTTTTTGCTCTTCTGATTTTTTCTCTCATCCCACTGTGGGGGAGCGACCAAGCGAACAACCGGGTGTGGACTTAGCTGCCAGTCAGGGCCAACCCACCACAATAAGTATTTTGTTGGACCACCACCAGACTGTGCCTCTTTTTACAGGATCACAAGCTATACATGTTTAATTCTGCTCCTAGCATGAACCCTAGAACCCTTCTCTTCTTAGTGCAAAGAGCTGGGAAACCCAACTGGGAGTGTTTAGCTTTGTTCCGACATTTTCATTGCTGTTCAAGCATCAACATTCTGTTCATGTATTTCAAATGGCTAAAGCTCTGGTAACATCTGGTTTTCCTACAGGATCCCATCCATATTCAGTGCTGAAAATTGATGCACAAAAGGAGAATGCTAAGTTTCAAATGCATAACTTTGCAATCTAAATACTATTTTAATATAATTTTTAAGTAACACATGCACCATGAGACAGAAGGTGTGTTTTATTTTCAATGTTTACTTCCTATTCATATATAAATATTCATGTATATATCCACATACTTCATATATTTAAAAAGTTTACTTCAGTATAAAACAAATAACAGGCTGAGCTTTTTGAGGGATCCTGAGTGGCTCCACTCCTTAGCGATGTGAAACCTGGACTCTGACATCAGGTAAATGGGTTTGCTGCCTTAAGTCAGACTAGGGCTGTATCAACTGGTAAAATCAGCCAGGAGGAAATAGAAAAAAAAAATAATTGCATGTTAATTTGTAAACAGTTTCAGTAATTTTACTTAAACAGGAAACCCACTGACACATAGTTCACTTTGTCTTAAGTCACATCTTGTGCTTTAATAAACTAAAAACAGATGTGCACAAAACATGACCAGTATTTTATCTCGAGTTATTTTATACAGGCAACATTTTACCTCATTTAAGAGGATGTTGCATTAATTTTAAGCGTGAGAAGTCAGGTGCAGTCTGTGCAGATTTTCTAGCATGTCAATATTTCTCAAATACAACAGTAATCTATTTTAATATTTTTATTTTAATACTAGTTTTTATTTTTATTTTGTTCTGTATAATTCTTCAGGATAGCTCTTGTAGCATTAATCCTCATAATGGTGGAAAAGATAGTAGATAGATGCTTTCACAACAGTTCCTGCATCTTCAGCTTCTCAGCCTTCTGGTCTTCATGAACATCTACTTGAATTTCTATGTTGTATTTTTGTACTACTTGCTTATCATTGCCATCAAATTCAGAATCAGAAAGTGTGCTTTGCTGTGGTGTTACAGGGGCTGCTGCATCTTGTGTGGGACCTTGATCTTGCTTGTTTGATTCTTGTGACAATGTTTCAGCTGGACTTAATTCCTCTGAATACTTTGTGTGCCAAGGCTGTGTTTCAACTAACTGTTTGGCCTTGCGCACAGCACCGCTTATGTTTTCCTCCACTGAGATTCCACATACCACTGTAATTTCCACCAGGTCTTTGTTGTTCACAGGTAAAGGCTGCGTTTCAAACATCCAGTGTGCTATTCTGACATGCCTCTTTACAGTGTCTTTTCTATGGACAACTTCATTCTCCAGTTCTTGACCAATTTTGTGTCTGGCAGCAGACAATGGCTGAGGTTCAAAATGCTTTATGCTTCTCTTCACGCTTCTTCTGAGTCCTTTCATCTCAGACCTCTGCTGCAACAAGTTAAGGACATCCACTGAGTAGCCCAAATTTATCCAAGTTTTATGCTTCCAGCACGTCCCTCAGAGTCTTTACAGCACCACTGGGAACTTCTCAGATGTGAGTTTCATGTGATGTTTGTACCTCATCTTGATAAATGTTATTCATAGAGTCCAGTGGCTGCATTTCAAACATCCATGTGACTGTGCAAACACCTACTCTAAGTAGTGCAAGAGCCTTGTTCATAGTTCCTGCAGAGGCTGGGTCTGAAACATCCAGGCTATGTATTTAACATTTCCACCTGCAATGGTTTCCTGGTCTGCAATGCTTCTAGCTTTGTCTGGGTCTGGAGGGTCATCTTTAATTGGAACAGAAGGCTGATTCTCCAATATCCGTCTTATAGAGAGGACCTCTCCTCTCTGGATTTCACGCCACTCTAAGCATTGTTTTTCTGGTCTTGTGAACATCTGAATGATGAAGGAAAAGCCATATCTAGCCTGCTGCACATCTGACATCATATCCCATGTTTCAGATACATCCTGATAACATATTAGGTAATGTTTCTTGAAGCGTTTTCTTAATTGTGGATGGAAACGTTTGTATAAATGTCTTAGTTCACATAAATTGCTTTGCTTTGGGTACAGATCTGTGGAGATGGAGGGCTTTGTTGGAGAGCTGGATGATTCAGCGCACTGGTAAGTTGCTGTCATTTCCAGTGGAGCTTTTGCATAAGTAGTGGAAAACTTTTCTGTGCTTCCATATTCATGGGATCTGGAGCAAATCAATGCAGAATTAGCAGTTCCGTCCTGTTTTTTTCCTTGGTGTAGAAGTTTCCTATAGTCTGCTTGCTGAATTAGTAGCAGTAGAAGGTGAACTAACTGTTGAAGGCAATGTAATTTCCTGGTATGTATTTTCCATCTTTAGGGAACAAAAGTGGTTGGTTTTTTTTAAAGTATAGTAACATAGAAAACAATTTTTCTGTTCTTCACAAAAGCTAGTTCTGCAAGGATCCAAGCAATAGGATTATAATAAGATCTGGAAAGGCACAATCCATCAGCTATTGCTCAGAATGCATAAAAACAATCTTTTGAACTAAGAGCTGTGCTATTTGCACCATAGGATATATGTGAAAAGAAATGTGTAAGTCATACAAAATGCAAAATGATAATTTAGCAGTCAGAGTTTTTGCTGCAACAAATGCAGACTTTGCATTATAAGCATAATGTAAAGTTATGCTGTGGCTTATGCTCATTTTCATTTCTTCTGAAAGTGACATTTTCTATGCTTCTGAAAATCTGTGGTGACAGAAATTATACATATTTACAGATTCAAAACAAGGAAAGAGGAGACTATTTGGCAGAGGAGGACAGGAATGCAAAAGTTTTTATAAAGGTTTACTTTTAATTGCGTTTGCATACTGTAAGTACGTGTTGAGCCTTCTAAAGTACTTCATATTACGTTATGTGCACTTAATTTCTAAAGTCCATATATTCTCACCACTTTCGTAGGTTACATGTTTAATCACAATTAGTCAAGATAGAAACTCAGACTGCATGACAGACCAATGTCTTAACCTCACCACTTCTAATTTGCCTAAAGAAAGATCCCTCTTATTAAAAGCACAGACCTTTACTTCTTTTGCAGGTGTTGCAGTCTCTCTGTCAGAGCGAACAGCCTTTTCCTGGGCTGTCCTTTCAATCTGCTCTTTTAAAATCTGTGTTACAGTCTTTGGGAGCTCTTCGTTCTGAGCTGTGTTGATTACTGCAATGGGAAGAAGAATAAAAAAAGATTGTTTTTCCTATACCCTGCATTTTATGCAATTGACTTTATCAGTGAATTATAAAACATTATTACATTAGAAAAATTGTACTTAGCCTTGCAGAAGTCTAGAGAGTCACTTGATCATGAACAGAAATCCGTAGGGAGAATGACAGAATAGTCGTTGAGAGACAAGTTACCAGCTACTGTTTTGCCATATCTTAATGGTGTGGCAGGTCTAAAGGTTGACTGGGGTCTGTGAGCAAATATAATGTGTGAATTCTAATACCAGGACTAAACTGCAGAAGCAGCATCTTAATACTGTGGTCACATTCTGCAGGGCTATTCAGTTTAGCTATAAATTGAGCCATTCTCATCCACAATTGTGTGTATATACATGGGCTTGTGCTTGCCTGTGTTTTCAGACAATTCTTCAAGTCCCCTGTTCTTTCAAGCAACTGAGCACATATTTAAAACCACCTCCTAATGCAAAAGCCATCTCTCTATACCAAATTCTAAACTTGTTTCTTAAGTCCTAAAGTCAATGAATGTGCTTTGCTGAGAATTCAGAGCAATGTGCATTTTCATGTTTGTATGCTGAGCGGTACATTTGTGTCAGTAAAGACATTTGCCATTGCTTGTTTGTGAGCCTTTATACTCATGCCACTTCTTACCTGTTTCATCAGTGTGCTGAGTGAATGTAGAAGCCATTTTTATCTCATGAGTAACTTGCTCGCGATGAGAAACCTGTGCATAAAACCTTCACTTTACTACAGGATTCAGTGCAATATGTAAGAATTTTCCATACTTCTGCAACTGTATTTAAAATGTTAGGCAAAGAAAAATATGAATGGGAAACCTAATTAATTACTACGTTAAATGATAATAAATAAAAAACACTTAATAAAACACCTTTAAAAAATTATTATGCACTGCCTAATGAGGGAGGCTATCAGCAGAACATCCAGATCTTGCTGTACCAAGTGGTAAAGGAGGAAGAAGCAAAGCAGATATGTATCAGCATCTCAGTATAACTGTCCAATGACATAATTATTAATTGATGTAGTTACCTCTTGTGTTTGAGCCGCTTCCATTTGACTTTCTTTGGAGGTCATTTCATTGAACTCAGCTTCCCTGGTGCTGCTTGATACTGTGTACTGACTACTACTTGACTTTTCCTAAAGACAAATAAAAATAATTGCACATTAACAGCTAATAGTGAATTAAATTTTTCTTTTTTGTTTTCTTTTTTTTTGGCCTATGAATGGCTTTCACAAATAAATTCTAATCTAAGTGTTGTAACTAGAACAGTCATTTTACAGCAGAGTACCATTGTTATTATGATTGATATTTGTTGCCATAAAAATTAGAACAGACTTTTTTATAACAGAGAAGATGTCAAATCATTTCTGTTACCGCAGCCAGATTTTGACCTGCAGATATGGAAAGCTGCATGAACACGTACAATGTATAATTAGACTGGAAAGGGATGAAGGTGATTAGGAAGACTGGTTCTGGCTTTACAGTATGCTGTGCCATCAGCTTGTTACCTATCAGTGGGCATGAGGCTAATGCAACTTTGTAAAAGGAAGTATAATAATATGTTTATATAAGAGATGCTGACTTCCTGCATATGCTTTATACAACTCCTCGGATGCAAAAATCATGCTGAATTGCAATTGTGAAAAATATGACCCATAGGCTAAGCAGAAGATCCTATAAAATATACAGGCTAACATTGTATCTACAAGTCTGACAACCGCAGTGTAATAAACAGCATATCATTGAGAGTTTAAAGCACTGTCCGAGATGTCCGTGTAAACTAATTTCTGAGGTTATGTGTTTAGTTCAACTCCAGATTCTGATTTATTTTCTTATTTAAAGCCTGTCACAGAACCTGTATTACATCACATTACCTGTGTCCATCGACTACTTTGAGATTTAATGATTAGAAGAAATAAATCCTAAGGGCCAATATTAAGATATCAGTTCTGTGCTTCCTCTCTCTTGCACACTAGCATGCACACAGAGACATCTAACAAATAATTTGACTCATGTCAAATTAAATTTTTTCCTTCCTTTGTGAGAAGAAAGCTTGCCTATTAGTTTCTACTGATAATAAGCTTTCAACTGAAAGGAACTTCTGGTCCCTCCAGCAAGAGCTTCTCAACTGTTCCATGGAATGTGAATGTGAATCGAGACAGCGCTGTGTTTCTGAGATTGCTGCTATACATCTAGCGCAACAGAGAGCTGTAAGCTTCCTGCATCTCAAATCCTAGCACCTCCTTGAAATCCAGGTAATTGTGGGGCAAGAAAGTAGTGCTCTCCCATAGTCATCCCATGACAAAACACATATTTATCGCATGACAAAGCATATATTCAAGCTAAGGAATGCTTACACTGCTTGCATCTCCACTAACATTTCTGCTGAATCAATATAGGGGAGCATCCACAGCCTGGCCCATAATTTCTGCCATACAGTAGGCAGCAAGGGCTCTTAAGGTTCTATGGGAGAGAAACAACGTGCCTCTCCTTCATGGGCTTTAGGAATTCTTTTCCACCTCTGTGCTGCCAAATCATCTGTTTCAACTATAAGATGACTTAAAACCATATGAACAAAAGCTAAAATAAATTTTCTGATTACTGGCCGAGTAACACTTCAGTGTGTTACCAGTATCAAAATTAATCTTATCTACTGCAAAGTTTGAACTGTCAAAGTGAGGTGAGGCTTCAGGAGAGCAAGTCAGAGCATGCTTTACACTCACAAGTTCTGTATGTGTAGCAGTTGTGATGGTCCGTATACATACCAAGTGAAAAAGAGGCAGTTCAATGAAAATCAAGTGCAAATTTTTCCATCTATTCTCTGTTTAATGACTATGTGTAGGCGTATGTATAATATGCCTTTTCATTTTATATGGATATGCTTTTAAAGATATTTATGCAAGGATGTGCTTTTTTCATTTAAGATACACTGTTCTAGTGTGCATGGTTTAGATATGTAAGTCAAGCTCTCGTTACTGGAAAAGCTCATTCATGAGATACGAAATATGTTCATGATAGTCATTATGTGTCCTTTGAATGGTGTGGGGTATTAAAAAGGAATATAATTAGCCTTAATGTAGTCAGGAAGCAAACCTAATCTGAATGTCACTACTGCTTTATTGCTGTAACTTTGGTACTGCTTATGAAGTAGTTGCCATATTGCAAAAGATTATAATTGTTTAATGCGACAGCTATGGCTGTCTAAAATGCAGCCTAAACATTATGCGCCAGATTTTGACAATATAATTACATGGCCTTGCTCTGGGCATGCAGGGAGGAAGAGGGACTTGGAGGTTCTCATGTTTTGTGTGTCTGTCAAGATGGCTAATTGAAATTCTAGTGACAGAGGGTAAAATGCTGCTTGTTTATTATTCCAAGCAAGTGGAGAGCAGGAAGACATGTGGTTTCATCCCTCCTCTGTAATGGCCAACTGTTGGATATAGGGTAGGATATCCTGTAGGTAGGATTAATTTAGTTTATCCCATTAGAGTTTGTGGCATGTTTTGTAGACCCCATAGATTTTGGAGAATATTCTGCAGAATTATTTGATGGTCTGCATGGGATTAGGTTGCTCTTATCTTATTAAGCAGGACAAATCGTGCCTCCAATGCAGAACTGTGGCTGAAGATCATGATCTAGGTTCAATACTAGTTAAGAGTTATGCTTGTGGGAACTCGATCCCTTTATTTGTTTCTATGGAATACACAGTTCCTGCTGTACTGTGTGTTATTAAATCAATCAAGGTTATATAATCAACCAGATCCCGCATTGCAGCGTCAGGAGGGAACAACTCCCCTCCAGCTGTGCAGGGGAGGAGGACAGACAGAGAACTCAAAGTCATTTTTGGTGGCAGAAGTGAAAAGACAATTATTACGGTAGGTTTTCTGGTGGCCCAAGAGTCACCTTTCAATTACTTTTTGCTTATTGTATGCCATATAATGAGTGAGCTTCAAAAACCACTGTTAGGTGGATGATTGTTGGCATGCTGCTAGCTCACGAACTGTTACTTATAGTCATTTTATTTTTATTTCAGATGTCCATTGCCCTCCATTCTCCTCTGTTTGTGTCAAGTCATCCTTTATGGATGCTGCTGGCCTTCCCATGCGTATCTGTATGGTACTTAATACAGAGGGCTATAGTGTCTCTGCATACTAAGTCATTCTAACCTAAAACAATACTATTTAAAAAATAAAGACGTAAATCTGAGAATAAGTCTGTATACGTTTTGTTAGAGGAATGCATTTTTATGTAGGCATTCAGCTTCTGTTATGGAAGAGAACTGTAATTGCTACGCACGTTTTATGTGTTGGTGGCCCATACATCAATTTCAGTGCCTCTGCGTTGCAATAATTTAGATTGAATTCTTATTGCAAAATGTGCCAAGATTTGAATTTCCAGTAACCATTCTGTGTATTTTAGTCCAAGGTTTGCTTTTCTGTGTTGACATTTTTGCAGTTTCCTTCTGTTCTGATAACAGACAAAACATACTTTCCCTTTCAAAACTAAAATTGCTTTGAGGCTTAGAATATGTATGCTAAGTTATATGCGTATGTACATAAAACATGTATACAATTCTGTATATGTATGTATGTACATATTGTTCAAGGGAATCAAATGACCCAAAAGCTTGTTCAAGCACAAGAAAGCCTTTTACTCGCTCACATTTGAAGCATATTGCTTTTAGTTGAACTGTACATTATGGTGATCGTATAAGCTCTGTGAGAAGTTGGCTAATATAGTATGGTTTATGTATTGGCATATTTAGAACTTACTGTTCTAAATGATCAGTATGTACAAACTTGCAGTTTCCTTTAGGCAGCAGTGGAAGTAAATTGTGAGCCTAAAGCTTCACTTACAAAATTAGCAACAATAGAATGACTGATGATTTACTTGGTCCGGATCTTCATTTCTTCCTCAAAGCTATGCTTTTTTTACCTATTTATGTTCTTATCACAGTATCATCTGCACATCAATACTCTAAGAGTCTTGCAGAAATTTCTTATAAGAACTTCACTTATCTGCACTTCATCGTTATGATTTGTCAGCGTTGCTTAGTTGTATGTATATACTTAGGGTGTTTTGGGCGCTATATGGAAGATTATATACCTGTGTCGTACTTGACACACGATACTATATGGTTGAGTGAATATCAGATACTTTAAATATATTCCACTCATCCTTCTTATGTAGGAGGTTCAGCTCACTTGCCAGAAATGGCTTGTTTCTGATACTGGATAGCGAGACTTTGAGCAGCTAGCTAGCTGAGCTGGTGTAGCAAACCACTCCAGGCTGGCATTTGCCAAACTTAAGCTCATGACACTTAAGCTCATGACCTCTTCTCAGCTTTCTGGCTGATGATAAAAAGGTGCTCATGATGCCAGTGGTCAAATTAAAGACCAGGTTTCTAAACAAACTCTGGTTGAGTTTGTGAGCGCAGGCAGTTCTGTGATCCGTTTTCATTGCCGCTCAGCATTCTGGACATGGGTTTAGTGCATCCTACTGGTAATATGGCACCTTTCGCTAGGAACCAATCTCCCTTACAATGAAGAGAGCATTGAGTGGTGGCTGCTACCTGAGAAAAACAGAAAGATAACTATTTATTATTTGCATATTTGATGTCAGTATTTTGAATGAAAAGCCATGCACTCATTATGCAGTAATAGAATATGTAGTAAAATGTTCAGCTATTTAGATTACTGTTTAAAAAATGAATTGCTTCCTTATTTTAGCTTGGATTAATAGTTTGAATTTATCCAGATATGGAGATCTGTCTTCAAACTACATGATTTCTTTTGCCCTGGGATTGATTCAGTGACCTTGAATAATCTTTCAAATACCTAAGTGTATAATCCCATTTTCCATGAGAGTGCAGTTACGTTAGATGGAAATGGGATTTTATGGTCTTGCAGTAAGTTATTTAACCTAAATTTAAAGATTATTCCATGTGGTCTGGAGTCATTTTATTTCCTGTGAACATGACTATTTCTGCTGATGATTTGAGAGAGCCTCCTCAACTAGCCACAGAGGACAAATACATGGATAAGTATGCTTAGAGGTCACATCTTTGTTGAAGAAATGGAACCATCATAGCGGCTTTGTGGAGAAATAGGTATCACTGTTAGGCCAGGGAAAATGCATCTTTACATCACAGAAATGAAATTACTTGGTTCTGAGTAAGAGAAAAAGTCACATCATTTCTGTACCTTGTCCTGCGTTTATTCATCCAGATAAATGGCAGCTAGGTTGGACTACGTCATCAGAAAAGTATGTGCTTAACAATTCCTTTTAACAAGGATTATTCTCCAGTATGATTATGTCCAACTATGGGATTTTTCTGCTTAGTTAAAAATGCTTTAATACATCTGCAACAAACTGTGTCTTCTCCCCTACAAACTGGAGTTTTGCTTGTTTTCTGTGCAAATTGTTGATATTGGTATTAATGGGCAACAAATGAGAGATAACTGGTAGATACGATGATACCTACTTAACATTAAAGTGAACCTATGGCAGAATGTTCATGTGTCCTGTTCTACAAAGTTGGAGGGCAATATTGCTTAAAAATCTCTCCAAGAAGTGCAGGATGGTAAAGCAATTTACTGTGCCATTACTGTTTTTCATAGTACACAGGACAGATTGTGGAATGTGTTTTATTCTAGGGGATTTCACATAGTCCAAAATCATTATCTCCTACAACAATTTTTCATGGTATATGCTAATGAAGTAATAAAATGTAAAGACCTTTTATCTCAACTAACACTTAGCTGCTGCTTTGTTCTACTTTTATGTAGCATCTGGGTTCTTCTGTGCAATTTTTGATCTGTTATGGGGAGTTGATTAGATTTAATTCAATGGAAGCAGGAAATTCCTTTTGAAAGAGAATGGCTTAACATCACATCAAGTGCAATATATGCAAAATATCACCATGATAGTTGATAATGAATTACAGTCTTATAGACAAGGTTCAGTATAAAATACTGCTATGGTAGTAATCTGCTTTGCTCATCTATTTGCTGTGAGTCTAGTATTGCCTAGGTTGAGTGTTCATCTGCATAAAAAATATATGATTCCTGTAGTATATATCAAAGAGAAAATTCTATGAGGATGAACGTTAAGGAAACATCTTAGTCATAATGAAAACTCTTCAGTTAAGCAAACAATCATAGTTTTTCCTCAAGCTATCTAGCAGGGCATACCTCATTTGTTAGTATTAAAAATGCTGTTGTTACCTGTACAGATTTGTGCTGGTACTCGTACTGAGCAAAGGTCTTTTGTGAAGAGGTCATCTGCACTTTCTCAAATTGTTTCCTCACTGCTGCCAGGCCACCAGGCACAGTACAGAACTTGGTTTTCTCTGCTGTCTAGAGTGATAAAATAAGGCCAGTTGTTTTCCATTTGCACTAAGAACGTACTTCTATGAGCTGATTGTTTTTAAAAGTCGTTAATAAAGGTATGCTATAATGCTTCTAAATTTTAAAGGGAAAATTTGGAAACACTTGGTGATGTCAGTAGCCTTACAGGTAATTTCCACTGATGTAATCTGTAAACCGTACTTTGTTTAACAGTACACATGAATTAACATTAGCATTCAGAATAGATACAGTCATAAACTAGTTATTTTTCAGGTGTTGTCATCAAAATACAGAACATATACGTACTGTTAATATTAACTGTTGAACCTAAATGGCTCATTTTAGGACTTTTTCTTATCTACCAAAAATGAGAACCTGCAAATTATGAAGTTCGTTTGGAATTTTGTAATCTAGAATTTGTTTAGCACTAGTTGCTAAATGCTCCAGTGTGAAATAGATCCTGCTGAGGTAGCTGCATATTTATCTCTGTCTAAACTAGCGTATGAGGACTCAGTGGTTTTGTCTGTAGTTTTAGGGATCACCTGTGTATTTTCAGCCATGTAATACTCTATCTTTGCAAGAATGACTCGAAACAATTACAAATACTGTTTCTGGCAAGTAAACACAACCTGTGTTTCTGCACAGGAGCCATACATTGTGATCTGGGGAACTAAAGGCCAATGCATACTTGAAAAATGCGCATGTTTGGCCTGAATCTTTAGCACCAAAAGGAGTAGGTCCCGTCTACTTGGTTGTCAGTAGCAGTCACTTTCCAGAACAATCCTTCTCTGCTGTTCCCTCTTCTACTTGTTTATCCTGAGTTCTGTTGCATTCAGAGTTGCCACCTGGCCCTCTCTGTATTTTGTCAATAGCTATTGTTGAAAAACATGCAGAGAGCTTCAAGCAGGCCTTTGTCAGATGATCTTTCGTCACTAACAGTGTTGAAGGACACAAGAGTGCCTTTACCCTCAGGATACCTGTTCTAGTACTGTCCCTTATGTGTTACCTGTCCCGTGGTACTAGAACGAATCTTTCAGCATTTGAGCTTATTAATTGGTATGCAGAAAATAAACCACCCAATAATTAGAAATAGCCTCGTAATGAAGGTTACTAAATAAACTTAGGTTTAGTGCTTACACCTGATGAGTAAGTAAGCAGATAATAAAAAACAGGTATTTTTTTTTCCCTGTGATGAAGGCAGCATGATTCTATACATACATGGATGTGTGAATGTGAAAAGTAATTATTTTAGTGAATGAACATTTCAGGCACACCTTGCCAGCCACTTGGAGACATTTCAAGGGGTAAATGCAGTTATGGGTCCTTTAAGAAAACATATTGATTCCCTTTAATGGAACCAGATATGCAGTTCCTTTTTCAGGCAACCATCCATTTCAGCAAGAAATTGTGAGGAGTGCCAGAGTGTAAACGAAGTAGTTCCTATGTGCTCAGCGCAGTTAGGCTGGGTCAGGCTTCATGCAGTTCTTTTCTTTTTGCAAGTACTAACTTCAGCAATGTTTCCAGTTGCAGGAGTAGGGAATGGGAACCTTCTCAGCTGGGTGAACTGCAGGAATCTGCTCCAAATACACACAGGCAATTAGGAAATAAGGAATTGAGCAGGCAGGAATTTGGTGGTTGGAAAACACCCAAACTCTGGTGAGTGTGGCTGGTGGCTGTTTTCACTGTGTAGCTTTTGGGTAGCCAAGCAGCCAGAAGGTCCCTTCAGCTGCTCCCAAGATCTCCCAAGATCAAAGTGCAGGTAAGACTGGGAGCCCTTCTACAGCTCTTCTTGCATATGGTACAAAGGTGCTGGCTGGTGAGAGCTGCATTGTAGTCCTTCTTTTGCCAGAGGTGCTCTCTGATTTACAGGAATTAGTCTGGCCTAGGTTACAGTAGGGAAAAGGTGTTCTTCACATGTGCTGAAAGTTTGGTGTAAACAAAAACCATTGTCATTCTAGCACTGAAGCAAGCCAGCATAATGCCTCCATTTCCTGATACAAGGCTGTTGAGCTACAACTTCTAGGTAGGATTTTAAGATATGATAAACATACATTTTTTACCCCTTAGTATTTCTGCAAAACTGAGGCAGATTTTCCTGATTTTCCTGGCTGAGATCTCAAGACCAGATTTTCAGATGTTCCTGACTGATAATTAAATGCATGGTGGTCTTGCTCCATTTAAATAGATTATAAATTCTGTTAGCCAAATACTTTATGTGCTACTTGGTATTAATATTAAACTTCGTTGTAAAATACCTAATCCCTATTGAAAGACATGTAGAAAGATAAATAAAACAAAATTTAAAAGTTTTTTTCCTAAATATTTTTTCATGTAATGTGCACTTTTAAATAATTATATTATAAAGCGATGCTTTTTCATACACCTTGTCTCATTGACCTTCTATTTTAAAACAGAGCAATTTCAAATTCTTTAGTTTGAACAGCAAGAGGTCTAAACTTAATGTGCTTTTGAATATGATTTTATTATTTGGTAATATATTTAGTAATGCAGAAACCGCTGGGTTTTGTCATTATGAGCTGAAAGAATAACTGTGTTGCAAATCTGTCTCAAGCCTATGGTTGTAATAAATGCGGTTCATGCAACAGTCAAATAAAAAGAACAGTACTTCCAATGAATTAAAGGGAATTGTCTAAAGCACCAAAGGTATATAGCATGAAAAATCACATTCGGTAGGGCAGAGACTGATGCATCAATATGTTTGCTAAGTAGGTTTGGTAATTGAGTTTTCAAATTTTGATCACCATAGCGGTCCATCAGTCAGCTTGTATAAATGAAGAATGTAGGATATGTCACTACGAAAGCAAACACAGACTTCAGAAGGTAAAGGACCATTAATATCTTACATGAGCAAAGGAGTTGCTACTTCCTATCTCGGACACAGCAGCCTTGTACATAGCCATTCTTTCTTTCAAGGAGACAGTCTCCTGGAAATCGAGCAGTGTGTTATCAGCCCTGGGAGTGCTCTCTTTAGGTAGTCTTCTTACGGGTTTGCGAGAACCCACTGTAAGTACAAACAGACATCATATTTTCTAAGAAAGAAACAGGTACCTTCTTTACAAATCTTGAAAGAAAAGCAGTAGTAGAAAGGAGCAGTATTATCAATGTTTTAGCTACTGTATCTTATTTTAAACTTAGAACTTAGTACAGGAAAAAAATAATGCAAGGAAGTGTTTGAAACTGGACAAAATTCCTTGGGGAAATAACAAATAGCTTTTTAAAAAAAGAATCCCCATACAATTTTAACAGCAAGCATAATATATTTTTTTTGATAGTGTTACATTTGCATTATTTTATACTGTAAAAAGTAATTGTAAATACTACAAATAACCAATTATAATTAGATAGATTATGTTCTAATTAGCTTTATACATCATAGTATTCATTTGCTTAACAGACAGTCCGTTCCGAGTTGATTATAGATTGCAGTTGTTTACTGATATTGCATTAGAGTATGTTTTAGTTGGTTTAGTGCTACTAAAACCTTATTGAAAATCATCTAAATTACTAACTACATTTTAACCTTATTTCAAGATGTGAAGGTCATAGACTTCTCTATAAGCATCTGCAATTCAGCCACAGTGAATATGGAGACAACAGTTGAGAGTAGTCTGGAAAAAACAGCACTTGAGTTACTAGCACTAGGAAGTTTTTTCTTGCTGCGTTCTACATTCATATGACTGTATTAGAAGAATTCCATATATCCAGAAAGACACCTTAAATTTAGCGTAAAGTTATTTTTCCTTCTTGTTTCAGACAAAGGGGGGAAAAAACTATGCTGTGAGGATTTCTCTTGTCTGTGATCAGAGGCAGAAGAGAATTCATGTAATACCACAAGCTGGAAGTTCCTCTTGTCCTACCAGGGTTTCTCTACAGTGAATGGAAAATTGGGTTGAATGACACTGGATTTCTATAACCAGGACACGCCCTTCCTTTTTGGGAGAGGAGGGAATTTTAAGACTTCAGGAAGATACATTTTTAGTAAAGCCACTAGAATCTAATTTTTTAATCCTTGTGATTCATTGATCCCCATGTGTATGGGGTGGAACTTGGTGGGTGTTTTTAGGGCCTGAGCCCTGTACAGCATTTGCCAGAGTCGACTCCTTGTTCTGGAAGCTTAACTGTAATACATATCGCTATACACATGGGCATTACAAAAACATGTGGTTGGTCAACCAAATTTTTTCTTAGCTAAGTTGTTTCTCTTTTGATTATTGTACTGTTTTACTAAGGCAATGGCTGAGAACAGGAAAGATACAGGTAAAAAAATTGCCCATTTTCTTTTAAAGTACCCACCCTTTTCCTTTAACATCATGAAGTGCAGCAACAAAGGAGACTTTCCAAAAAGCTATCTGTTCACCTGGCACAGAACAGAGTGCCAGGGAAGGGGTATCCCACCAAGCAGGGAAGAATTCCAAGCCACGTGTGGCCTTTCTGCCTGTTCACTATAAAACTGGCATAGGTGGTCAAGGTCCAGATATAGCAAACAAAGATAACATGCAACTCTGATCTTCAGTAAAAGTCAGACATAGATGCAGGCATGCATGGAAGAGTGGTCTCAGTGTAAACATACCCAGTTTCTTGGTAATTTTACTTGACCCTACTCATAACTTACATGAGGATAATTTTCTTGATTATGCTTATCCCATGCAGTACATTTGCATATTGCATGTACTCATGATGGACAGAAAAACCGCTACAGTTCAAGAAAGTTCAATAGCAGCAGTAAGAATCAGCTGGAAGGGAAAAAAGGTTTTCAGAGAAAGTAGAAATCAGAAGAGAGAGAAAATTGCTGTTCTTCAAGCAAGAAGTCTGCACGTTAAACCAAATCTAACCAAAACAATGGAAAGGTTGCAAGTATGCTTCGGCAACACAGAGGGATAGTCCACCATAGCCAAACAGCATCAGTTAATTTTTAAAGGCAGATTGAATTACGTAACAGACAACTACCAGCATGATATTTATAAGCCATTGCTTTAATTCTCAAGAATGTTCAGGAGTTTAAAAACTTTCTTAGTATTGTTCTGATTCAGTAAGGTATTCTTGGATTCTGCCTAATCATAAGCGTGTGAGTAGTTTCATTAAACGCAATGGGAATACTCATATGCTTAAAGTTAGACGTGATTAAATTCCTTGCTGATTTGGGGCCGTGAATTTAATGGACTGTTTTAAAAAATATTTTAATAGATACAAATTATTACCCACCTGGGGAGTGAAGGTAATAGAAACTATTCTCTTGTTAACTTTAAAACAGGAAATGCCCTCTATTTAAAAGCTAGTTGTTTTACAACCTAATGTGAAACTCTTTGTGGTGGTATGAGAGATTATATGATCTAAGCTTTTGCTCATTCATTTTGCTGATATTGCTCTAAGCTTTTGCTCATTCAGAACAACTTAGAGGTGTAATATCTTCTGATTCTTTCAGGCATAAATGTGTGCTTGTGATAAAATAGTTTGTAAGAAAAGCCTTATGTTTACCAAGGTGAGCTATGCCAACAAAAAGCTGTTTGACTTTGCCATGCTGGACTCATACAATAGTATGTTTCAGAGAATTTAAATTTTTTTTTAACGATAAGTTACGTCGATTCTATAAAGTAAACAGAGTTTGACAAATCATCCGTGCATAATAGGAGTTGAGAATTCTGGCTTTCTGCCTTTATTTTTCCAATTATATGACTACATTAGCTATCTCTTACGGGCTTCTCCAGGTTTTCAGGATAGGTTGAACAGCAAGTATGAGCATTGCCTTCCTTGTTTTTCAATGGAGAAAACAGAAGTTGTTGGTACTCAGTCATACAGCTTGATGTAAATGTTGCTCGATACCTCTACTAGGAAAACAAGATTTTGGCATAATTGAAATATTTAACAAAAAGTTCCATAGCATTTTAGTGGTTTGAGGGTATTGTTCTTGTTGAAAAATTGAAGCAAGTTGATGTATATTGTCATTGGTTATAGAAAACTCAAAACTCATGGTGATGGGAGAAATAACCTATGGATCAGCATTATCTTATATTTTTCAGGACCTGAATATTTATTCAAGTGCAGAGTTGCAGATTTCAGTGCCTAACTTCAGCTATTAGTTTAAGAGCTTTCACCAGTGCTTTCAAACACTCAAATGAGTCTATAGGGAATTTACTTCTCATAAGACTGTCTGAATGCAGAATTGGGTATTATGGCTCTCACAGGAGCATGGAAAAACATTATCCCCTGTGGGTCTGTCACATTTTTAGAAAAAGCTTAATTTGTAAGAGGCATGAATTGTTGACTCTGCATTTTTACATAGTTCACATTCTTTGTTATTCCTGGTGGACCAAAAAGGGCTTCTGAAACGTACTGTGCCCAATTTAGACTCAGAGGCAAAGCGGGTATGGAAAGGAGGATTCCGTTCTCTTGTTAGAGAGGAAAAAGAAAGGCTTTGAACTAGGAGAGTCTAAAAGGAGAAGAAAAAAAAAAAAAAAAGAAAAAAAAAAAGAAGAGTGGTCTTTATTTTCATTGTTAAATTATTAAAACAAAAGCCACAAAAAAATACTCCCACAGGGAGAACTGCAGCTGTATCTAGTTGGTGGAAGAGAAGGTTATGGGGTGATATGGTCATAATGTATAATTGTCCTTCCAAGAAGAAATGAGCAGGTGTTAAAGATCTCTTTAGTTTGGTATGGAAAAAAGGAAAAAAAAGATAACCAATGGCTGAAAGTTAAACCTGATAAAAGATCAGGTATTTAGTTTGAACAATAAGCATAATAATCCTAGAAGCATTGGCTAGAAAAGGTCTTGTGCACTGAAATTTCTTTTTCCCTTTTATCTGCTAGAATGTGGAAATGCTAAACATGCAGGCTAAACATTTTATGATCAAAAAAAGAGTGGACTCGGTAATTGGTTGCTACTGTGTAGATAGCTTATTAATTTTGTTGGCAGAGTGGACAATTCTTTTTATGCTATTTATTTGGGTAATCTGTTGTTTTACATAAAGTCAAGTTCTAGGCACTCAGAAGTCAATAAGTGATTTTCTGTCAGAAAATTGTATCATCCATGTTGTTTCTGTGTTAAAACAAACCAAAACACAGATACGTACACTCTTTGGTACCATCAAGCAGTGGTCTCCAAAGTGGGATGTGTGCACCCCAGGGGCTGTGCAAGACTGTCCATTGGGTGCAGGAAGAAAATATTTTTTGTAAATAAACACTTTTAAAGTGATTTTTTTTTTTTTATTTCATCCATCATCCTTTAATATCTATTTGCGTGTATGTTGCCTAACATACATAATGTATTGGTAGAGTAGTACATGTATACAGTTTGTAGATAAATATATATACAAACATCGGGAGTGAATGCTCAAAAATGTTTTACTGATAGCAGTGTGCCATCAAAAAGGTTTGGAGACCACTGCCTTAGAGTAAAGCGAGACATCAGATCAACCTGGTAATTCTAACCTCCAGAGCTGTTGCTGTGGCCATTTTCTGATGACATCTTTTCAAATATTGCTCTCCCTCGTTTCACACTAGACTCCTTCAGAGAAATGACAGAATGGCTCCCAGGCTGACTCTTCCATGCTGATGAGAGTGAACTTCTCTCACTTTCTTTTTCCTGTTAGAAGACACCAAGAGGATGTGCATTAAAAGATAATGGTAAGAAAACGGATGTGGGTTTGGGGCGGAGGAGAGGATATGAAGAGGCAGCAGAACAGAAGGGGGTGCTATTTTGGGGGAAATGTTCACCAGCATGCCATAAGGTAAATTTCCATAGCACTGCAGGCTGCGGATTCACGTGTGCTGCCCGGTTTATAGTTCAACAGATAGTGATGCTTGGCAGTTTTCTTTTGCCATTTCTTGCACATGATTTCTTCCACAAGGGAAGAGTGGTGGTGGTGGTAAGGATCACAATAAAAGACACCAGTTACTCATTTAAACACTATTTGTACATAGAAAAGTTGACAGAGTAAATTTTATTAATTTCATTTCCTGGTATGCAAGAATATGTAAAAACAACAACTGATGGCTCGGAGACCAGATGTACATGGGCATTCATATTTCAGAAATTATATTTTCAATTCTGCTGTGACCTATCGACTGAATTTAGCTTATCACAATAGTGGGTTAATGTTCCATACAGATAGTTCACACAAGATCGTTAGTCTCTTATCGTTACACTGTGGCCTCAGCCCTTCGAGGCAAAATGAGTAAATTATTGCTAAGCAAGACTTTAATGTGTTGAAGCTGGTGTTTTGGGGTTCTTCTCCTTCCTTGCAATCAATATGCTACTCGGTATGGAGTTGAACACAATGGCTGTAAAATCTCAACTACAGCTCTTATATTAAGTAAATAACTGAAACAGCTGGAGTAGCAAAAAGGCTTCTTTTTGCAAGTGAATAACATGAAAGATCAGTCGCGTGTCCACTTCCGCTGTCCCTGTAAAAGAGGTAACTATCCAAAAAGACAGTGGCTAGGTGGTTGGTCTGTTAACTGCATAAATCTCTCCAGCAAGATTTTGCCAAACATATTTGCTAGAACCTTTTAATTGCTTAAATGGCATATGTTTTCAAAACATACTTCATTGCAAATGTACTTCAATGTGCCTTCATTAGACTACTTTTTTTTATTGTTTGCAGACAGCTTTATTATTGTCTATCAGTTTAATGCTACCCATGTACATGATCTCACTGAAGTAACTCCTAACTGCTTTTAGATTTAGATATTATGCGTGGTGTGTAAGAAGCAGCAAAATTTGACCCCTGAATTGATTATCCTAGATTGGAGATTATTTTCTAGCAACTATTTAAAAAAAAAGAAAAAAGAAAGAAAACATTTTTTAATGCAGTGTGACTTAATGAATCCTCAAATAGAACTCTTACAAAGAAAATAATATAAAATAAATTGTAAAAGCCATTTTCACAGTAGCAAATAATCAATTAATACATTCAACTTGATTTCTATAAAACTAACAGTCAACAAGAGTTAGAAATATACTTTAAAACGAGTGCCTCATTAGCAATCAAAGACAATTGTGCTTCACCCATCTTTAATAAATTTACACTTATCTCAAAGCTGCCGATACCTTTTATCTTAAATATGTGTTGTACTTTATTTCTTGACTTTATTTCTTGTAGTCATTCTTTACAAGAATATTCTTTCCAGTACAATAGGTTATGCCTTGTGGAAACTCATAATTTTATAACAATCTATTTCTGTGAGTTACAGTAGCTTTTGCTTGAGATTAGCTGCAAGATTTTTGTATGATGTGTCAGCATTGAAACAAATGACTGATTAGACCATAGAGGCTAAAGATGTTTTATTACCATGAGTATTGTAAACTCCTTTTTTTCAGAAAAAATGCCTATGGTATCGCCAATCATCAGTAATCTTGTCGCATCAGTTTCTTCCCCCACCCCTCCCCCCAAAGAGCACTGCTACTACTGCTTAAATGGAATTTAACTTGAAAGATAATCTTGAATACAGTGGATAATTTTAGCAGATAGCCAAGAGGTACAATCAACACACTGGAAAACTAAACATGGCTAGATTTATAGGTGGTATAGGGGATCTTAACCAATACTGTGGGGTCTGTTGCCTTTTATTTAGCATATTTACAGGAGATAATTGGTTTAAAACTAATTTGAATGATCCTCCAATTTCTTTTACAGTTAGCAGCATATTTTCCTTGGCTATTACGGAAAGTATTTTTGGAGGGTAATAGCAAGAGAAAGATTTCTGGAGTGAAGAAAGTAGCTGTCTTTCTGCTCCATGACACGTCCTTGTACCCTTCCTTGCTAGTCTGTCGGATACTTTCCGGCTGTACATCCCACTCAGAAATGACACAATGGCACAGTGCCGGTAAGATAAGCTCTGTGACGAGGCTGGGTAACAGTGCAGACGTGGCAGTGCAGGTGGGCAGTTGCAGCGCCGGCAGGATAGAGGGCTTGGCCAGAACAAAGGTATGCGAGAGGAATGAGATACTTACGTGCCAAGGGTATCAGGAGACAGCAGGTGGCTGAAATGAATAGGGTGTTTTGTGTGGGAAGGGCTATGGCTTCAAACTGCTATTCATTTTGTACCCTTTTTCAGAGTTGGTTATGAGTTACAATTACAACCCAGTATTAATTATAACTCAGTATTAATTATGATATTTTGTTCTAAAAGAGCTGAAGAGCTGACCATTATGCCTGAAATCTGGTGTGGACAATCTGTGATGCAGAAATGGCTATGCAGCGGAGAAATGCAGGATGGGGGAGAGAGAGGAGAAATAATAAAAAAAAAAAGCAGCTGTGCATGTTATTAGATCAGCCTGAACATGTCTGTCTTCTACTTCTCCAGTTCTGCAACCAGCCAGTACCTGGCATAAGTGAGAGCAGCCTCAGGATCATATTGCCACAGCATTGTGCGTGCTTTCAGTAGTCAACACCAGAGAATCACTTCAATGATGTTCTAACTTCTGCAATATTAGAACAAAATAGAAAACTCAAAGTATACTGTGTTCTCAACTATCATTGGCATCTTTGAGAACAAAATCATCTAGGGTTTTTTTTAATACCTACTACATTTTTTGTAGTTACCAGTAACAGCTAAAAAACTTCAGAATTTACTATTTCTTATTCTTATTCTGGCAAGCTAGGGACCAATATAAATTTGATTTGCATTTTTCTTAGGTCTATTAATTTTATTAACTTGTAGCATATTTCTATAATGTTTTTTCAAATTTTCATTCCTGCAGTAGCAATTCCATTACGTATAAAATTTATATAAGTTAGAATTTTGGACATTTGTTTTAATAGGCATTTAAAAAAATTAATCTTTTTTTTGACCATTTTTAATATTTTTAATATCAATTACAGGAATATTGGCCCTACACATGAGATTTTCATGTAAATTCTTTTATGGACAGATTTCAGAGATATTGGCCAGATACACCAGAAGGTATTTTCATTCAGCTTATTTTCCTGTGTTCAGAAAAGCATATGTCTCAAACAAAACCGGAAATCTGGGATGATATTTACAAATTGCTTAGTCATAAAATATTACCGTTTGTCTTTAGTGTTTGATTTTTCCACCTGCAATCTTTTCTAAATCTCAGATTTTGTTTTGTAGTAAGCATTATTCCCATTTTTGAAGATTGCAGTGGGGGTTTTATTCGGTATTTTTGTAATTTGGAGATTTCACTAAACAATGCCAATTACCAATTCTAGGAATACTCTTTTCAGTTTTATGCCATGATATTAATTTGTCATCCTAGTCCTGTGAAGCATTTTGTTATAGGTGACTGAATACAATTTACTGTAGCTTTATATTAAGTATTTTGAGACTGGTGTTTATTGTTCCAAATCTCTTTGCTAATTTGTCTTTTGATTTCTATGTACTGTTGCCTGTAATAATGTAACCAAAAAAGAATAACTGTATTTTCCTCTGTAATTACACAGACATTAGGGGGGACTGCTAATATATTCTTCCACGAAATACATTTCCACTGTAGTGGATCAATAATTTTAAATACATTAATTATCTTTTAGTTGTTTCTAAGTAAGTTCTCCTTATTTCATAGCTATTTTTAGCTTTTACCACAGTGTGCCACAGTTATCCATATTTTTTAAATCCCTGATATGGAGAATCCCTATATAGTTGAATGGTCAGTTTAGTGGTCTCTGAGGATGGTGCTGTTCTGATACACAGTGATGATGGTCTGGGGCAGAGGAACTGCATGCTTAGCACTGTGAAGAACTCTTTGTTCTAAACAAACTAATTCTATAACCATGTGCATTCTGTTCTGTTCCTCCCTTTCACTATCACAGTACCCACAACATGACAGTTTCCAGCTGCCCTAGCCCCATTTTGCAAACAGCATCCCTGTCTTAGTGGGACTTCTGAAGGATGATATTCTTGCACTATTGCTCCAGCTGAAGTGCTAGCCCTCAGATTGATTCTCAGAAAATGATATTTCCTACTGTGAAAAAGCTATTGGAAGGTGTTATGATTACCGTAAACTCCTTTTAATCGGGATAAATTTAATTTGCATACTGTTTTATTGGGGTATCTACCCAGATAACCTAATGACAGTGCATGGCAGACATCTGCTTAATAAGGATAGAATTAACATAAATGCCACTTATCAAAAAAGCATCAAGGTAGTGCCAAGAGGTGCTTAATTAGAGGCTAATATATGCAACTCTTGCAAAAGTTGCCAAATGAAAAATAAAAGAAAAAGGATTTTTTTTTTTCTTTCTGATTAGTGCCGGGTTCGATTAATGCCAAGCTTTTGTAACTTATGTGTGTTCTTGGTGGGAGCAGGTATTCAGTTGGGACATAGACCATTGTGTGGTGCACCCTGTTTAAAAGCATTTATTCAATTTTTTGTTGGACATAATTTGTTGAAATCCGTCTATATTTAAGTAACTTTCTATCATGTAATTACTTCAGTTTTATGCACTGGCTCTGATATTATATTCTATTTTTGAATGGAATTGTCAGAAATAGGTGACACAAGAAGCTATTTTTATGTTCTGATCTCATACTCTAGACAAGATGAAAAGAATAAAGCACTGGAGTGCCAAATTTCAAGGAATATGCAGTCATTACATTTAGAAATGCCAACGATAAAGA